GGCTAACCTATGGCCCAGGTGATACCCTACTTGCAACGTAAATTTAGCCCACTGTATTTTCAAATCCTGGTCCGTCCATCGCTATGAGATTTACATGTAGAGGTCATATTTTGCTGCAACTCGCACATGCAGAAAAGGAATGATCCTCGGAAAGGAATATGCCTTCCATCAAAGGAGGCATTTGGCATTTTGGCTGCATCAAATCATTGAGGCAGATTATTGACAACAAGACACTAGTGGGAAGTGAAGTGTAATCGTTTGGTTCCTAGTGCGATTTGTCACTTGTCACTGTGCTTTTTGCGTAAGAATGGGAATAGCTACAATAACAATGTTACCTCTACCTCTACAGTAATGGTCTGTTTTGGAAGGGTTGATTCAGAACTAAAAGCCCTTTTGAAAACATTTGACAAAAAAACTTGTTTTGGGGTCATAAAAGTGTTTTCTGAGGATGCTTCTTCATGAAGCACTTTTATTTTTAATAAAAATTTCAATGTGGTTATAATAAAAACACTTACGAACATGAGTGCTTTCTACAAAAGCAGACCAAAACGAGCCCTTACTTCCATCAAACTCTTATTGTAACCTTGCATCATGTGTGTTTGATCCATTCTAGTATATAACTGCAACATTAGTTTCTAACAACGTTTGATGCACCAACTATTTCTCTCAAGGAGATTTCATCTCCTATTTAAGCTACATAGTTTACAATTTTATCATTTACGAACTGATGTGACATGTGCACAAAGAAAAAAAAAGACAGATACGATCGAGTATGACAGAGGTAATGTTCCAGTTTCTCTGGTTTGGTATTGAATGGCTCAAGCAGGCAAGAACAAAAACAAGAAAAAGGGAAAAAGGGAGGATTTGGAACTTGGAAGGCGGATAAGGTGAGGTGGAAGAACAAAACTGCTGTGAAGCTTCAATATATTTCAAAGGTTCACACAAATTATATCATTATAAAATGATGCACCTGAACAATTTCTGATATACTAGCTGGTAACCAACATGTTCCATGCCTTGATTATAGGCTTTGCCAAAATTTTATAGCAAATAGAAGCTTATTATGAGTCTATGACAATTTAGTATGCACCACAGAGTTGAAACTAGTTTGCCAAAACATCGGTATTGCGGACTATCTTCATGGAGGGGAGCACAACTGCAGCCACTGGTCTTTCCTCCATACCACCGCCTTCATCAATGATCAGCCTGAGCCCTTCAATATGAAGTTTCCCGTGATGACCGCTTACGACAACTGTTGGATTCTCTGTCAGTTCCTATGAGATACAAAAACACCAAAAATCTAGAGAATTCAGTTGCATTCCATTGTATGAGGATGTACAGCTTAACTCAGTCAACCCACAAACATGAAATTTTCATCATTGAATGTACGCAATCTATAGAACACAAAATCACGGGACAATAAACTGGGAAGGTTTCATTAAAGTGGAATGCTGATGTTAAGAGGTAGAGAGCCATCACCTTTGGTATATTCCATACATTTTTCCTGCCACTCAAAGCCTCTATCTTAGGCACCTGGGTGTCTCTGGCTCTCAAAAATTCCAACTGCTGTTTGACGTCCTTATCTTTCTCTAAACCAGCGTGCACTGCGATCAATTTGCAGTGTTTGATTCCATCCTCAGTCTCTACACACACATCATCCTGGAAAAAATGCACATCATCAAGACCCACTAAGCTTCAGCATGTGTTCCTATGGTTCTCAATTACTGCATTCTGCTCCAGGACACACAAAAGAATGGGAAAGTGAACCAGTTGAAATTTAAGTTTTCTTCTCACGTTTTACACAATGACTCTAGTCAGATGCAATTGAGGGTCCTGAAAAAATTAAGATAAGAGGAAATAAAACAGGGCTGACCTCTTCATGGACCCATACCATATCAGCAAGAAACTTCTTATGTTCATCAGGAACTGCCTTAACCAAATCTGTCCACAACAATTGTTCTTCCAATTTAGAAAGTAACAAAACAAAATCCTAGCACTGAATTAACTAATAAAGCACACAATCCAGTCCAACTCCAAGTATAGACAGCTAGCTGACCACATAAAATTATTGAATACCTTTAAGTTAATAACACAATTGTAAGCTCATAGTTTAGCAAACCCAACTTGGCATTTGTCAATTGCTATTGAAGAGAACTGGAAATCACATGATTTGAATACAAAATACTTGAAAAATTAAGAGACCCATCGGCTGCCTTCAAATAGCTAAAAGAACATGGATCAAGCACAACCATTTCATTGCAAATTGAACCAATAAAAAATAATTCATAACCACTCAAAACCAACAAACAGAGAATAAAACAAAATCAAAACACAGAGACCCCATCAACACACAAAAAACCATGAATCAAACAAATCAAGCAAATCAAAATTCTTAATATTGAAACTCATACCAGCAGAACCATGAGGAACCCCATAAGACGCAAAGGTGGGCCCAGCATCATAAATCGAACCTTTGTACTGGGTATTTTTGGCTGCATTAAACTTGTCCTTGATACTACCAGCCCATCTCCTACCTTGCAAGTGCATTCTCTCATACCCATCACCCTTAAACCACCCTTCTCTCTCTTCATTGGCCTCATACTCCTTCCAAGCCACAGAAAACTCAGAGCCATCCAAAGGCTTAGGCAGGACCCCCACAAAGGCTGCAAAGGCCAGGTCATGGTTCCCAGACAGAAACACGTGTCTCTGATTTGGGTACTTGGAGGGCAGAGAGATGAGAAAGTCCAAAACTTTTTTGGTGTCTGGGCCGCGGTCACAATAATCACCCAAGAAAATTATGAGGGCAGCGTTGAAATCTGAAGGGTCGATTGTGGTTTGAAGATTGGACCAGAGATTTTGGAGCTTGGTGTAGAAGCCATGGGTGTCGCCTACGCAGCAGACCACCCTGGGTTTCGTTGTGCAGGCTTTTGGTTCAGACATAATTTTTCTGTCTTCGTCTTCTGTGAGATGCCTGATGTATCTGTGTACGTGGAAGTTTTGAGTTTTTAGGCTAATGGTTGTTGGGCTGGACTTTTTGGAGGTTGAAATCTTGGGGTTATATACGTGGTGGTGTTTGTGGCTGTGATAGCGGTTGTTTAGTAAGCATAACCTGTCTGGAAAAAATTACCATATTTATTAGGGTAAACTGCCGAATGCTTCCTGAACTATAATGCTTGTCGAAATGTCCATCATGAATTATTTTTTTACAAATTTATAAATAAACTCAATCATAGACATGTATTTATAAAAAAACCCAAACACTATTTAAACATAGAAACACACCCAAAATCAACCCCAAAGTCAACAATTGTATATTTTTTGGGTGTGTTTATAAATGGGTTTTGAGTGTGTGTAATGATGGGTTTTGAGTGTGTGTATATGTTTAAATAGTGCTTGGGTTTTTTTATAATTTCAGCTCCTATTTTGGATGTTTTAGTGAAACTCCCTTATTTTTTCACCCAATTTAACCATCATGCTATTTCAAATGGCCAATTTAACCCCTGCCATCAAGTTTTAGACTTCCATCCAACTTTCTATTAATTATAAAGTTAAGTTTGTGATTTTACATTGACAATATCAACAAATAATAAAGAAAATATAAAATCATGATTTCTTCTCTCTTTCTCACTTCTTTTTTTTATGTTCTTTTTCCTTTTCCTTCTTCTTCATCCCTCTCTTTGGACACAAACCTTCATCAAATTTTTTTTTCCCAGATCTGCAATCCTATCACTGATGAGGAATCTGAAAAACCAGGTGTCACTTCGTCTTTGAAGGTATCACCCCGGACCCGAGCTGGGTTATTGCGAGTGCTGGGAGGCTTGCACCGAATTTGTGGGTGCCATTGCTTTTGATGGGGAGTTGATGGCTGTACAAGCTTAACCTCCCAACTCTATCTCCACCTCCTTCCTCGTTGGTTCAGTGAGCCACCAAATTCTGAGATAAACTCCAAATAGCTATTTTATCAAAAGCCCTTTTGTCAATTCCAAAAACTCAATTTACCAGAAACTCTGAATACCATAAACTCAATTTAGCCCAAAACTTTTGAAACTCAAATCACCCAATTGCTGTTGCAGACCATCAAGCCATGGTTTGTAAATTTCTAAACTCAAAACCCAGAAAGAGGAAGGAGAAGAAATCCCTAAACCCAAATTGGTTTGCTTGAGAACATTGCAAATTAATCTCCATGGTAGTGTTGTAGAGGTGGGTATATCTTCAAGTCCTCCTCCTTCTCCACCTTCGCTGTTGCTCTTTCACTGGAAAAACATCCGCATCTCTTTCACTGAAAAAACCTTGCAGATATGGGATTGTAGAGAGAGGGTTTAGGGGATGCGGTGGGGAAGACGTTGATTGCTATGGTTTTTTTGTTTTTTGTTTTTTGCCTTTTTAGTTTTTAAAGACTTAATTATTTTTAACGGAAAATTGGAAGAAACTATATGGAAACTAATAGCAGGGGCTAAATTGGCCATTTAAAATAGTCTGATTGTTAAATTGGCTGAAAAAATAATTCATGGTGGACATTTCGACAAGCGTTATAGTCCAGGGGAGTTTTCGGCTATTTACCCTATTTATTAACCACTATTTTTTATAAAAGTAATTTACAAAAAATAAATGATAAGGTCTGTAAATATGATACAAGTAGCATTACTTCTTGTGATTTACGTAAATCACTTCCATTTATATAAACTGTATAATTAATAATTTGATAAGCTATGACCAATAGAGTGTTAGTTGGATTGACTTGGATCTTTGGTGTGCTTCAAAGTGGTCTGGATTTGCCCTCATGGTACGTGTGTGTGAGTTTTCCTCCCTCGCCCTATTTTCAGGGTTTAGCATCTCAATGAGAAATTGCTGTTCAATTTGGCTCATTTGTATGGTTTTACAATTATTTGGTTACTTATTTTGTTGGTAGCTTTAGGGGTTGGATGGGAGAGTGTTTACACTACATTGGAAAGAACAGATTGTTTAGGAAAAAAAGAAAAGAAAAGAAACATTCATGATCAAGAAAAATAATAGATCTCATTTTGGATACAGTAAATTATATAGCACAAACAATACTCAGTTTACATCAAAGCATTTTGCCTGTGCCTATTATACCTAAATTGTAACCGCTCATGTAGAAAAACCAGGACAAAAGAATGCCATAATACACAAAAATGGGGCAACTGTTTTGTTTCCCTCATCCTTGATTAACAGAAAATACTATCCTATTTTTCTAAGACTCTGAGAATTGTAGAAGTGAAGCTGTTTATTTATCTCCTTTGGAAGTTGAGGAACTTGATGCCATAGGCGAACACAAAGAAGAAAAGCAGAACCCAGCCAACGTGTGCTGCGGCGACAGCTGGCAGGAAGTCATGCTCAAAACCCAAGTCATCCTTGAGGAACTTCTTCAATGGCATGGTACCATATCCAGGTAGCACAAGATCAGCATTTTTGTCACCCACTTGAGAGGTCACAAGGCCATAAAGTGTCCAGGCCACAGGTGAAGCCCAGTAGTACCACCTCCACCAGATAGGAATTTGCTGCAACGGATTGTAAAATATAAGCTCTTGTTATGCAAACACAAAATAGAGATTCAAAGTTGCTGTGGAATTTTGAAGTTTAATTTATATATCCCGTACCGGCCTAGGAATGAGAAAGCCGGAAAACAAGTTCCAGAAACTGAGGAAGAAGGACATAACAATGGCAGCAATCTGGTGGCCTGGAGTTAGTGCAACCACCATCATACCATACATTGTGAAGTAGACGAAGCACATTAGAATGTAGTAGTAGAACCACAGGAATTTGCCTACTTTCCACTCAAATCCAATCATAGAATAGAGGAGAAGAGTGTAAATAAAAGTTTGAATTGCAACATAGATTGTCTCTATGGCCACCTGCAAAACAAGGGAGATAAGTCTTCAATGAAGTAAACAGAATTGAACATATCTGCTAAACTCATCAGCTTTACAAAGAAAAAAATTTCTAAACTATTTGCCAATTGTATATATTACCTGAGCAAATGCATAAGGCAGTTCAGAATACATCCCGGCAGCTCTTTCGCGGTAGAAAACTGTTCTTTCGATAGCAACAACAGATTGGACCGCGGAAGCATTGGTGGCTCCAAGGAAAAGCACAGCAGCATACATGGCTCCCAAAAGGTTCATGAGATCTTGCTGTTGGGTTCTGTTATAAGATAATTTTAATTTACATCAAACCAGATGCCAATAATATGATTTTGTTAATTATGCAGTTCGAATCGATCAATTGTACAGGGTCTTCAAGGGCACATGCATTTTCTTCTAACCAAAAAACTAAGGAATTAAATGAATTAGTCCAAGGAAACCAGAGCTTACGTCTGCTGTCCCTTTTGCCAGAAGATAAGACCAAATAAACAACCAATGACTATTGTCATAAAGAATCGAATGGCATTGTACTGAGGGTTTCTCCAATAAGACCAATGCATTTTCCAGAAAGAGGCTTTGCACTGAACAGAGAAAGGTTGGGAGTATTTGGTTGGGAAGTAGAGATCCTTGGACCCTGGCGCCGCAGTACTAAGATCTTTGATAAGTTCCTGGTTCCTCCTAAAAGAAGGTCGAGAGGAAGAGTGAGAATCATAAAACTAGAAATCCGAGGCTACCTGAGAAAGCAATTATCATTCAGAGAAAAGAAAAAGAAATTCAGGCTTACTGGTAAAGTGAGGAGTTGGCATAAATGTCTGCAAAGTCCACATCAAGTTGAGCCTCAACTGCAGGAGCAGTGACCTCAAGCATCCATGTAGCAGGATTGTAACCATCTTTGATCTTAGTGACCCCTGGGACGGCCTGTAGTTGGTTATAGATATGAGTTCATAGTGCATTAAAATCACTAATGAAGGATGTATACAAAATAAGAACCAAAGGAAAACTCACTTCAAAATATTCTACAAGCTTGTGAGATTGGCGACCGAGAGGTCCAGCATAAATGACTTGTCCTCCACGTTTCATCAGAAGTAACTGTGGCAAGTACAAATCAGGTTGAAAATATGTAAGATGGATTTACAGAGAGAAAAGAGAAAGACATTGAGGTAATGAGAGTCTTGGAAATTGAGTGACACCTCATCGAAAGCTTCAAAAATATCTATACTTGGCTGGTGAATTGTGCAGACGACAGTTCTCCCCGTGTCCACTGTGTTTCTCACAGTACGCATAACAATAGCAGCAGCCCTGGCATCAAGCCCAGATGTTGGTTCATCCATGAAAATGATAGAGGGGTTGGCAACCAGCTCCACAGCTATGGTTAATCTCTTCCTTTGTTCTGTTGAAAGACCATCTATTCCTGGAAGGCCAACGAGAGCATCTCTTATTGGGTTAAGCTCAACCAGTTCCATGACTTCTTCAACAAACATCTGTGTCCCCATTAAAAAGGAAAATGATCAGACGTGGGATCATTGAAAAATAGGATTCCAAAGAAGATTCTGGTGAGGTCTAGCAAGGGATAATCATAGACCACACAACATACCTTTCGTGTTTGTGTCTTTACTTCTGAAGTAAGACGGAGCCAGGCTGAATACAGGAGAGATTCGTAGACGGTAACATGAGGCGAATGAATGTCATTCTGTTCACAATAACCGCTAACACGAGCAAATGTTTCTTGGTTCTTTGGATAACCAGAGATGCTAATGCTCCCTTCAATATAGCCACCAGTCTTTCTTCCCGCTAAGACGTCCATAAGAGTTGTCTTTCCAGCACCACTAACACCTACAAGTGCTGTCAATATGCCTGGTCTAAAAGCACCGCTGACATCTCGTAGCAGTTGAAGGCGATCTTCTTCAACTCCTTGACTCTTCATTTCCTGAAATGAGATACCAGATGTTCACTTCAGCATAAACCCTTTAACTATTTGTATTAAACGTTAACTTCTTCCATTGAAAAGGAGGCTGTTTCTTAATCGAAAAGGAGTATGTAAAACATCAGTAGTGAAATGTTTAAAATGAATGACTTACAGCAGGCATATCCACGTAGTAGTTCACATGGTTAAACGCAAGTGAAAGGGGTTGGAAGGGCAAAACCATTCCTTTCTTTGGTGCATGATCTGAACCACCAACAATTTCTGAATAACTTTTCACTGCCATATCTATATCTGTAATTGTTCATGAAAAGGTCAGGCATATAACAATTTCTTTTCAATATTAATCACAAATTATGATGTCCTTTTCCGTCAGAATGCTCAAACTTTTGATGGAAAAGAAACCAAAAACTATTCATCATCAGCTATGACAGCTTTTGTATCTCCAAGAGCTGATTGATTTCCAAATGTAAAAAAAGAAGAGGGTTGTCAATTGTGGAACTTCATTTCCATAAATGAAAAAGAGTAGAATTTGAAATGAGATGAACTTACGGTTCAGAAAAGTCAATGCTGCAATGAAGAAAATGTTGAAGAGAAAAGAAAACCCAAATAGTGCTCCAACACATATCCAATACCAATATTCATCTGTGAAGAATCCTCTAGACTTGAGGAGGACTCTCCCAACTGTAGTTTCATTAATTCTCGGATCTGGATTTGGCTGCGGTCAATAAGAATTATCAATAATTGCTTACATGTTTGAGAATTCAAAGCTAATACACCATACATATATGTGAAACATATGCATGAGTGTGCTTGCATGGAATGAAAAATCGTCCAATGATGACAATCACACAACTGAGAAATCTTACTGCACTCCATCTTTTATCGAGAAATTCGTTCATGACGATTGCATTCTGTCCATACATCATAGGAGAGACATAGTAGCCCCATAACATCCAAGGCTCAAGGTCGTCTGCAGTCATAAGAAGAAAGATGGCTTAGATTGAATTCATTATATTGAACAACCATGAAAAATCTGAAACTTATTAAAACGTATCAACAACTTGCTTTAACTACAAGAAGGTGATTAAAGTTAAGATTGATCACATACTTTTGGCAACAATAAATCCGCCCAGCACAAATACCATTAGCAAAGTAAAGGTGCCAAGTGTATTTGCAACAACTTGTGTTCTTCCCAGTGCAGCAATGAACCGAAAGAGTGACAGAGCCATCTGATGTATGCCAAAGAATGCCAAGAACTGTTTGAAAAATCTGGAGCAGTGAAGAGTAAAGAAGTGTGAGTAAGTAGAACTCTAAACACACTAGTTGAAACCATAATCAAACTGAATTCCATAATTTAAATACGGTTTTTTTGGAGATGCTAGCAGCTGAAATTTATAAGATTTGGAAACTGAAAACGTGAACTTTATTTACCTGCTAGCAGCTGGAGCAAATCCAATGGTGTAATAGGTAAGAATGATCCATATCCCTGATTCCATAAATGATAGGGGGATCCTGAGGACCCAAATAGGCAATCCAAAAGCCCATGCAGGATAAAACAAGAAATCCCTCTGCTTATAGAAAACAGGAAGCCTGAAAACTGTCATTGCCAGTTCAGCCATACCATTAAACATCACATTAATCAGACTGAAAAACAGTGCACCGAAAAATTTTCCTCCATCTTGTACTGTGCCCACTGGCATTTCTGTCCTAAGGAACACAGTAAGGGCAATCAGTGACATGATTGTTATCTGGGTGGTCTTGAACACGTATACGAAAGAATTGCGCTTCATTAGCAGCCACTCCCTTGAAAAACATGCCTTGAACAATTCCCAGTTTGAAATACCATATTTCTCAGTTACCAGTGCAGCTGGATGAGCCCTGGACTTGTCATAAGGAACTCCAAGATCAGCTGCAAGCTGTTGGCCAGTGCGAAAAGAGCTGAAGGATTCAACAAACTCAGGAACTGCAATATATCTATAAGGTTGGTCCTTCTTAAACCAATATTGTTCTTGGTCCTTCTTGGATGTTACTTCTTGCAAAAAGTCAGCAACTCCTTTCCTTTCAGGGCATTTGAAGCCCATGTATTCAAAGAACTCTAGGACACTCTCGCGCAGGCCTTGGTACACAATCTGACCTTCGGAAAGTAAGATAAGGTCATCAAACAGCTCAAATGTCTCTGGTGCTGGCTGAAGAAGAGAGATGACCATGGTTACATCCATTATGTGAACCAATTGCCTCATGTATCTGCATATCTGAAAGGTAGTGGAACTGTCTAACCCTGTTGAAATTTCATCCATCAAAAGAACCTTTGCTGGTCCTACCAACATCTCCCCTGCATATTGTTCAAGCAAAATCCATTAGACTGGTATGTACAATTATAAATGGACCCAAATTGTATTAAACAAAAATTGATGTACAAAATTAGTAAAAATATGGTCCAAAGAACATACCAGTCGTCACACGCTTTTTCTGGCCGCCAGAAATACCCCTTCTCATATCATCACCAACCATAATATCAGCACAGATATCCAATCCAAGTATCTGTTGAAGATTTTATTTATTTTTTAATTAGTCAGAATTTCCAAATTCATTGGCTTGCTCAAAGATGAAATACATGTATACATAATACCAGCAGAAAAAATGGAGGCAAGTACAAACCTTGAGAACATAATCTGTGACCAAACTAGTCTTCTGGCCTGACACTGAGGTGGCTTTCATGAATGCATCAATCTCAGGGTCTGGCTTAATTCCTGCTTCTTTCTCTCTTCTTGAGAGTTCTGCCAACATTTGATATCTACTTCCCACACCCAAACACCGCCCTGAGAAATCTAATGTCTCTCTCACTGTCATCTCTCCATAGTGAAGATCATGTTGACTGATATAAGCACATGTCCTCTTGGGAACAAACTCATTCAACTCATGACCACAGTAGGTGATTTTCCCAGACACCTGTTCACCATTTTAAAGCCATCAGCAAACAAATGGTAAAAGATAAACAGAACCCACAACCAAGCTTAGTGTGCAAACTGATACAGTAAAGAGGAGATTGTAAGAGAGAGAGAATTTTACCCTTAGGTCATCATCAAGCTTCCCTGCAAGTGCCAGTAACAAGGTTGTTTTGCCTGCACCTGGAGGACCCAGTAGTAGGGTCATCCTGGAAATTACCAAATCAGTTAGCAGTTAACATCATCAAACCAGTAGTAAAGTAAAGGACAAGCCAACACCATACACTTCCATGGAATGAAAGTACAAATCAATCATATGCCCAAATTTGAAAATAGTTTTTTGCATCAACCCCCAAGCCTACACACCGCAAACATTCTGTTTCTTTGGATGTGTGCTCAGTCAAAGTACCATTGACTGCTTGACAGCAGCAACCCCATATCCTATCCTAATTGGAAAACAAAAAGACTTATAATTTCATATACATATACCTGGAGGGTCTCACTATTCCACTAACGTCTTTAAGTATCTGGATATTTCTCTTCTTTGATGGAGCAAGCTTAATCAATCCCAGAACACTCTGCAGCCCACAAAACCATTTCAGTAAGAGAACAAAATCAACCCCACAAAAATCTAAACCCAATAAAAAAACAAAACAAGTAGAAGTTTTATCAAGGAAAAGGAATTTATTCAAGATGAAACTTAAAGAAATTAAACCTCAATAGTGTTCAAGGTAGCATTAAGCAGAGTAGGCAGTGCTCTGCTCCCAACATATACATCTCCTTCGATGGACAGTTTCTCGAACCGAATATCAATCTTCGGAATCTCAATCCCCACCCTACACAACACAAACCAAAAAACCCAAAATTAAAAATTAAAAACAAAAACAAAAAAAAGCAAAAGAATTTCCCTTTTGCAAGAAAAACAAAGACATGGGTTTTTAAGAGAAAGTATCAAAGAGTCTCAGACAGACAGACCTATCAGTTCTGTCCCTAAGTCTCCTCAAAAACCTTTCATTGTCATCTTCCACAACCTTCAATATGCTCTCCATCAACTGCTTCTTATCCTGCATTCCCAGCTTGGTCACATCCACCTCATCAGTCACCACTTTGCCATTGTCAAGCACCTGCCTCAGCATCCCTCTTCTCAACCGATCATAAGTCGGCAGCCGCTCGATCGCGGCCCACCGGAGTTCTTCCTCCTCATCCTGCCGCCCGCTCCGGTTGAACACATCCGGCGGCGCCTGCCACACCTCCCGGAAGCTCGTGGAGGCCCAGCTCCGCTTGCTCCCGGAGGTCCAGCTCCTCCGGCTGCTGGTCGACCGCGCCAGATCATCCCCGGCTAAAGCCGCCGCCATTTCGATCCAGATATTATCACGACTGTTGGTATAACAACTCCTTAAGGACTCTCAACAGGCCCAACGGTTTTCTAAAAACCGCCGCAACAGACAGAAGACAACGGTTTCTAACAACCGCGCCAACAAAAACGGTTTCGATCTAATCCGACACAGACAGCCTGGTTCTGTTAATCACTTGAAGTTTCCCCACCGTTTTCTAAAGACGGCCGCCAAGAGCAGTTTTCGTGACAGCTACGTTTTAGAGACGCTCTTGACCAGTAGAGAAAGTCGTTGTACGGACTCAACCGCCGGTACTTTGGATGTTATAACAACATTAACAAAACATCGCTGGCCATATGGGGGGAGCCTGAATGGGCCCGTGACAGAAGGGGGAGAGAGAGAGAGAGAGAGAGAGAGAGAGAGAGAGAGAGAGAGTGAGTGAGTGAGTGGTGTGGGGGGAGATTTTTGGGGAAGGTGATCAGAGAAAATGAACGTGGGGGGGTTATATTAGTAAATTCCATATTTATAGCGGCAGGGCTGCACTTCAGGTTTGAATTGAAGGAAGCTTCACATTGGTTGCTGATTTTGAGTATTTTATTTTCTTTATTTTCTTTTTGGTTTCTTTCTCGAGAGATTTCTTTTTCTTTTTTTTTAGACACTGCTTCTTCTACAGCTCCCTTTTGCTTCACTTTTAATATTAGGTACTCAATCTCATTGCTTATTGTATTGTTTTTTATGTTATTTTATGCAGTGTATATATGTCTGTGCACTTCTTTTGACAAGTGGGTGAAGCAAACTAGCAAGATTAAAAACTAAGTAACTTGAACTGCAGTAAAAAGTTGAAGCATGTTAATTCTAAGAAGACGGAATAATTTAGTGGAATTCGGTTGATTCAAATGGAAAAAGCCCATTGAGAAAATCAAATACTCGAACCTGAATGCTAAGAGACGGACTCAATCTCTTAACTAACTGACCTAACTTACTAAATAAATTCTCTTGCCATAATACTAGGGTTACAAGGTTTAAAGAATCAAATGAATTTAAAAGTGACTAGATCTAAGTGATATATTATAGAGAATGGAGTGGTTGGTGTGCAAATGTGTCAATAGATCCCACACGCACAAGGATATGTAGACAATTATTTCTTAAACTAGAAATGTTTTGTGCGATCAATTAAACTAATCAAAATATTAAGTAATTACTTAAATGTAAGCAATCTTCTCTCAAACCTTCTTTTTTGAACGAGTTCCATACACATGCAAAGGGATCTTTCTTACAATCGAAGGTGGTGCTAATATGCAGTCGAAGATCACTGGCTGAAACTTGATCCCATTAATCTTGTTGCTGTTCTCAATGCACCCAACCGTTTCTTTAGGTCACCCATGGGCTCGGGAACAAAAAGTTGACTAAAAAGTGGACATGTGTAAGAGAGAGCATGTCTTTCAACTCCAAGGCAAACCAGTACCACAAATATATAAATGTGAATTTAAAAAAGCAAGGAAACAATTTCTTTTCTTCTAGAAACTTTTTATTACATCATAAACATTATATAAACGGATAAGTTGAAGTTTACGCTGGAAAACTGTGGCGGAATGATGCACGTAGCTTTTTGCGTTGTGGGTGATCTAAGATTGGATCGAATCTGTTGCGTGCCAGGTGCTTGTATCTGGATCTTCTAGTTCTAGAAGACCACAACATATATCTAGCTGGACCTTCTAGAAAGACACAATTATAGATTTTTTTTGGGGCAAAGACAATCAATATATTTAGCATGATTATATCGTCTAATCCGGGTTTTTTATATGGAAAAAAGCAATCATTGTAATGTTTTTTAGTACTTGATAAGTATTCATAAAGTAGGCAGGCACAAAGATCATCAATTATAATGATACAAATACCCACAAATGGATAATACAAATATGAAAACATAGTAGTAACTATATATAGGCCACATTAGTCAGACCAAAGAATTTTAGCATAAAAGCCGCATGCCCGAACAAACCAAACATGAATTGCAACGACTAATTCTACCAACTACAACTTTTAAACTCTCACAAGTAAAAAAACACTTTGTACTAGGTACATTATACTATTATTTCATAATAAGCACAATTTTCATAATAAAAAAAGACGGTAATTAGATAATAAATAAATAATTTGTGTAAGGCACATAGGAAAATTTGTGTGTGCATTACTTACCCAACAATATATATTTGTATGTGCTAATATATATAGATGTGCCAAAGATTTTGAAATTTAAAACAAATTAATGAGTGAGTAGTTAAATTTTGCAATAAATTCTAAATTTAAGAGAGGAAGGAAATCAACACAGTAAATTGAGAAACCAACATTTAATACAGCCACAAAATTGGGTAAACTCTAATTAAGGGTACTTTTGGAATATGAAAGTATAATAAATCAAATTTTAAGTTTAATTAGGTAACTTGCTGAGTTGGATCCTAGTCATCGAGAGGGGAAAAACTACATTTACTATAAATAAATAATAAAAATAAATAATAAAAAAACAAGTTGAGACTATAACAATCAAACACCCAACTTATAAGGAGTTGATGTAATTATTACAAAACAAGAAACATCAAACACACATTAATCAAAAGCCAACAGAGCCATTATCACCGCTTCTGCTGTCGCCACCGTCGCAGCATTGGAAACAGAGAACACCACCAAAATTACAGACAAAAGCCAAAACAAATATAACCACCAACATATATCCAAGCAGATCTTGGCTTAAAAAAATTTAAATAAATAAATAACCAAGATCCAAAGCAAATTTAGGCACAAATACCCTCCTCCAATTAAAATCCTAAATCCAGAAGGTGAAAGGGAGAAAGGAGGAGAGAGGGAAGGAGAGATAGGGAGAGAGGAAGAGGAGGGAAACACATAGTGCCGCCTAAAAAGAGATGGTTGAGAGATAATTTTTTAGGTTTAATCCAAGTTTGACATGCAATGCTTTCAATTTTGCGAAGAAAATATGATTTTATGCCTTTTTATCATAATTTTCATTCATTGATTATATTTCCTTCCAGTGTAGTTATTTTGTTGGGTTTTTAGTTCTAATGGTCCATGAATTTTGACCCAATTTGCATTTTGGTTCCCTAATTTTCAAAATCGTTCATGTGGTCCTTCAACTTCAGTTTCATTAGGACAAATGGTCCTACTGTTAATTTTGTTAACTTTTTCTGTTAAATGCAAGGGCAAAATTGTATTTTTTGTGTTATTTTTAATTTCCACATTTTGAATATTATTTTCACCCAAAAAATAAAAACTGAAAAACCTTCTTTTATGCTCAGTCAAACAACATGGCCGAGGGGTTATGGCTACTGTGGTGAGGATAGGAAGAAGGTTTTTGAGTGAAATGAATATTTAAGAGGAGAAAATTAAAAATAATACAAAAATACCATTTTGCCCCTGCATTTAACAGAAAATATAACAAAATTGACTGCATGACCATTTGTCCTAACGAAACTGAAGTTGAAGGATCACGAAAACGATTTTGAAAATTGATGCATCAAAATGCGAATCGAGTCAAAGTTCAGGGACCATTAGACCTAAAAACCCTATTTTGTTTTAAAAAGAAAAAGGAGATTGTAGAATCCCTATAATTTTCGTTCATTGAAATAAAAGTACTCTTGTAATTACATTTTCCCTAAATGTTTTAAAAGGAGTATATATTCAGCTGTGAAATTTGAGCTTCAGCCTCAAGCTCTTGCTATTTCCACTCACCTGTTCTATTCCACCTACCTTATTTTTAAAATTTTAAAGATAAATTTATCTCTTTGTAAAATGACTTATGAGGACAACTCTCTTAATCTCTCTCACACGTACACACACCAATATTTTCTTTTTCTTTTTCTTTTTGTTCCAAATCCACAGCCATCTTCATGAAGAAAGTTGAGGTTCCACCCCAAATCCAATTGGCAATAGGGGAGTAGCCCAACTTCTTATAAACCCAGACTTGGTCCCTTAACTTTTCAATGTGAGACAAATACTTTCAACACGCCCCCGCACGTGTGACGAACTTTCAAGCCTACCAAGTAGACAACACATATTGGGTGACGTGGGAGCACATGTGGCCGTTGGGCCCAACACGTGAAGCCTTACTTTGATACCATAAAGAAAATTAAGGTTCCACCCCAAAACTAATTGGCAATGGGGGGGGAGTAGTCCAACTTCTTATAAATCTAGGGTTGATCCCTTAATTTTTCAATATGAGACAAATACTCTCAACACTTCATACCCAACCCACCAAACAAAATGAAGTCAACATCTTTCTCTTCTTATGTTCTTCATAAATTAGGAACCAGAAGAAAACCTAAACTTACAAACTCATAACCCCAATTTTGTTTGCATTCACAAATAATCCAATCGTTTTTCTTTCCTCTCTAACTCTAAAGCTCAAGTGGTTCCATAATTACATCAACTTTGAGCTTTTGGGCAACTCTAAAACTGACAGATACCCATGGCCATTTCCTTTTCTTCCTTTGTCTCTTTCTTTCTTTTTAATTTCAAACTCAAATAACACCTCTCTTGCAGTCTTTGAAATTAAAAATAAAATAAAGAAAATGTGTTTTCATTTTCTGGAACTATATTGTAATAGTAAATATGGAAATACAATTAAAGGGTATTTTAGGAATAATGGTGGGTGGAAAGATAGGTTTATGTTTATTCAAATTTATAAGGTGAGTGGGGAAATAGGATAAGGAAATGGAAATAGCAGCATTCATTCTAAATTATTCTAATTTGATAGCTAATGTTGTTGAGAGTTGAAATTAAATTTATTGGTTTTATTGGTTTTAATTTCTCGGCATGTTGATCTGACCTACAAGAATAGTGGGAGCTCAAACACTATCAACCAAAACCCTATCCTTACTTAACCTACTATTTTCTTATTGGCCTTCTTAGTTAAAAAATTATGCAGACCATAAAAACAAAAATAATATGGCATTGACTAGTAACTCAGGGTTTAGGACGCCAATCACATTATGCTATACGTGATAACTTTTTTACGTGGCATTATGTGATTGGTATAAGAGAGCAAAACAGTGTTATTTCCGATTCATATAAGTTTTTCTACATAAATTAAAGGCTAGCTTGGAAGATGTCGTTAAAATCTACATCTAATTTGTTTCTTTTGATGTTTCCTTGCTGAAAAGAACACATTAATAATGATTGAAACTAACATGTCGTGTTGAAATTGAATGGTTCTTAATTTCTTCCAAATATCTAGCATATACCGATAAATATATTACGTTGTTATATAGTCAGAAATATGATATTATTTGTGGAAAAATATATTTTGGCTGCCTCCATTATGAGTCCAACATAACATT